ATAGAATATAGAAAGTTTATTTTTTAAATGTATTTATAAGGGAAGCCCCTTGAGATGTAGTATCTTGTATGCGAGGGGGTCCTATATACATGAACAAAAATAGCATTTACAGAAAAGAAATAAAAAACAACAAATCAAAACAAAACAAAAGACAAACACAAGACAAAGACAACATTCACACAACACACAGACAGTATTCACACTATACAATACAGGATCCTAAGATATACATCTCTCTGATTTGATCATCATCACACCTATATTTGTAAATTAATAGAGAAAAAAAGCAAAAGTAGTAAGAAAAAAACCAAAAGAACATACTATAAAAAGGTGTGTCCAAACTTTTGACTACATAACTTTAAACATACACTACATGGAAAAATGGTCACATTTTTATACAGCACTTTTCCACCTTCAAGGCACTCAAAGCACTTTATAACAAAGAACCACTCACCCATTCACACACCAGTGTACGCAGACACTGGGGCGCGATGGGTTAAGTGTCTTGCCCAAGGACACGACAGCATTCATCTGTGGGAGCTAGAATCACACCAGCCAATCTGTGGATCAGTGGATCTGACTGCTCACGACTCGCTGACTGATGTTTATGTCAAGAGTGGGATTTGAACTGCCAACCTTTGGATCAGTGGACAAACCAACTGAGCTACTGACCTCCAGTCAAAAGGTTGGACACACATTGCCAAAAAAAAAAAAAAAAAATTGGAAAATTTGATTTAAACAAAACTTAAAAATATATAGTGTGTTTTGTTAAGTGTGAATGTAGAGGTGTTTTTTCTATATAGATAATATAGATAATAAAAAATAGATTAAATATATATATATATTTTTTTATGTACATAGTATCTGACTTGACTTTTTCACTTGCAAAGTGGAACAAAGGGGCAGAGCTAAACTTTGTCAACAAATAAAAACTACGAACAAAAACGCAGCGGATGAAAGCTTTATCTGTAAAAGAATGACGACGTAAGTGAAATAAATCTTCGTAATTTAAGTCTCATTGTTATCCCAATGAAAAAACTCACACAAAAATCACTTCTTCGACTCCCAAAATAGTCCTCCTCTCCCTGTCTCCGTGTGCACAGGGAGCTGCACATGCCTGGGCCCTCTCCTCCTCTCTAATTTGAGCAATGCCGTCCACATTTCGACTGCAAGTAATTACAATCCATAATCTAATTTGGGCACTTTGATTAAATTTCCAAACGCCACTCGGGCAAAATAAACAGACTAAACAAGAGCGCTATTGTACTCAGCCGCCCTTCCTATACACCGGTAGTACTCATCGTAGTACTAGTAGTAGTAAGAATAGTAGTCATCGTAGTGTTCACTTATAAGTATGTCAACTTGAGTACTAGTAGTAGTAGTAGTCATAGAAGAAGTAATACTGATTGTCATAATGTAATTCATACCACCAATAGTTGCTTTAGTAGTAGAAGTAGTAGTACTAGTAGAGAAGTGAAATTGCAGTAGTATCTGTAACCACTATCACTGCTGTTAGTATTTGTAATAGTAGTAGTAATATTGGAATTACTATTACTTACTGACTGTAGTAGTGGTCATAGTAACATTTGCAGTAGAAGTAGTTGTAACAGTACTACTTCTACTAGTTGTAGTAGTAGTAGTAGTAGTAGTGGTCATCTAGCATTAATAGTACGAATAGTCAGATTGGAAGAAGATGTAGTAGTGGTCATCTGTACCATGAAGTGACTCTAATAGTAGTAGTAGTAGTAGCATTCACAGCAGTAGATGCAGCAGTAGAAGTAGTAGAAGAAGTAGAAGTAGTAGTAGAAGTAGTTGCTGTAGCAGTAGTAGTTACAGTAGCAATGGCAGTAGTAGTAGAAACAGAAATAGTTGTAGTAGTCATAGTGGCATTTGCAGTAGAAGCAGTAGTAAAGGAAGTATGAGTTGTTGTAGTTGCAGTAGCATTTGCGGTAGTAGTAGTAGTAGTAGTGGTAGTGGTAGTGGTAGTAGTAGTAGTGGTAGTGGTAGTAGTAGTAGTAGTGGTAGTAGAGGTAGTAGAGGTAGTAAAAGTAGTAGTAGTAGTAGAAGTAGCAATAGTAGTAGTAGTAGTAGTAGAGGTAGTAAAAGTAGTAGTAGAAGCAGTAGTAATAGTAGAAGCAGTAGTAGTAGTAGTAGTAGTAGTAGAGGTAGTAAAAGTAGTAGTAGTAGTGGTAGTGGTAGTGGTAGTAGTAGTAGTGGTAGTGGTAGTAGTAGTAGTAGTGGTAGTAGAGGTACTAGAGGTAGTAGTAGTAGAGGTAGTAAAAGTTGTAGTACTAGTAGTAGAAGTAGACGTAGTACTAGTAGTAGTAATAGTAGAAGTAGTAGTAGTAATAGTAGTAGTAGTAGAAGTAGTAGTAATAGTAGAAGTAGCACTAACAGTAGTTGTAGTATTAGTAGTAGAAGTAGAAGTAGTACTAGTAGTAGTAGTAGGAGTAGTAGTAGTAGTAGTAGTAGTAGTAGTAGAAGCAGTAGTAATAGTAGAAGTAGCACTAACAGTAGTTGTAGTACTAGTAGTAGAAGTAGAAGTAGTACTAGTAGTAGTAGTAGTAGTAGTAGTAGTAGTAGTAGTAGTAGTAGTAGTAGTAGAAGCAGTAGTAATAGTAGAAGTAGTACTAACAGTAGTTGTAGTACTAGTAGTAGTAGCAGTTGTCACTGACTCCCATGCAAATCAACAACAAGTGAGAATTGTGGAAAGTGTCATATTTGGATTCTTTTAGCGTAGCTCCCTGTGGTGTGCCTAATCACACAGTCCCCTCGCGTTTCCCAGATGGAGAAATGAAACGCACCACCCCGGGCATGTACAGCTCTACTCGCTCTCCGGTACTTCACAAAATACTGCAACAAAGTAACTGTCCAAATACAGTGTGCTGATACAATACGGTGCACAGTGGCGGAGGGAGGCAGGCATTATTATGGAGGGGTGGGGTGTGGGGTACTTCCTCTGTATAATTTGACACAGATGGAGAGAGCGGGGGGGAGAGGGGGAGGGGGGGAGAGGTAGTTTGAGTTTCTTTTGGAAAGTGCGGCAGTAAAAGTAGCATAATCCCACCATAATGTAACACCTTTGGGCTATTAAAATGAATAGTGTTTTTGTACGCCTGTTTTTGTCATTATTCTAGTAGCAGTAACTCACGTACTAGTATGTAGGAAAAGTAGTAGTAGGCCTAGTAGTGGTAAACATCCATAACACTGACTAATAAACAGCAATAACTGTAGTAGTAGCAGTAGTAGTAGTAATAGTAGTGATGCTGGACTAATAGTATCAACAGCAACAGTAGTAGTCATAATAGTAGTAGTAATAGTATTTGTTCTTGTTGTTGTTGTGATCTTGAAAATAGGTGTACTAGTAGCAGCAGCACTAGTAGTAGTAGTAGTAGTAGTGGTAGTAGTAGTAGTAGTGATGGTGGACTAATAGTAGTAGCAGTTATAGTAGTAATAGTATTTGTTGTTGTGACGGTGAAAATACTACTAGTAGTAGTAGTAGTAGTAGTAGTAGTAGTGTGGTGGACTAGTAGTAGTAGTAGTGTGGTGGACAAATAGTAGCAGCAATGGTATTAGAAGTAGTATTTCTGGTTGTTGTGACAGTGAAAATAGTAGTAGTAGTAGTAGTAGTAGTAGTAGTAGTAGTAGTAGTAGTAATGATGGTGGACTAATAGCAGCAGTAGTTGTAGTAGTAGTGGTATTAATAGTATTTGTTGTTGTTGTGACAGTGAAAATAGTAGTAGTAGTAGTAGTAGTAGTAGTAGTAGTAGTAGTAGTAGTAGTAGTAGTAGTGACGGTGGACTAGTAGTAAGTAGTGACGGTGGACTAATAGTAGTATCAGCAGTTGTAATAGTAGTAGTAGTAGTGATGGTGGACTAACAGTAACAGTAGTAGTGGTAGTAATATTTGTAGTTGTTGTGATGGTGAAAACAGTAGTACTAGTAGCAGCAGCAGTAGTAGTAGTAGTAGTAGTAATAGTAGTAGTAGTAGTATTTGTTGTTTTGTGATGGTGAAAACAGTAGTACTAGTAGCAGCAGCAGTAGTAGTAGTAGTAGTAGTAATAGTAGTAGTAGTATTTGTTGTTTTGTGATGGTGAAAACAGTAGTACTAGTAGCAGCAGCAGCAGTAGTAGTAGTAGTAGTAGTAATAGGAGTAGTAGTATTTGTTGTTTTGTGATGGTGAAAACAGTAGTACTAGTAGCAGCAGCAGCAGTATTAGTAGTAGTAATAGTAGTAGTAGTATTTGTTGTTTTGTGATGGTGAAAATAGTAGTACTAGTAGCAACAGAACTCTTTACGATATTTTCACGATATACATCTCACGGTATGATATTTATTGCAATATTTTGTGGAGGCTAAACAGCTAAAACTGTTAACATGCTACTTTTTCCTCTTAAAATGCCTTGACAAGACTTAATTCAAAGAACTAAGACTTAAAAGTGCTTGGAACACTGAAATGGAGCAAAGGATCATGGTCTATGTAGTTCCCTCTGCCTTTTTTAAGCAATTGCTGCACCATAACTCTTAATTTAAGCAAAGAGACTTGTAATTCGTAATTATATTGTGAGGGCCCATGATATTATTGTGAGAACTTTGACGATACGATATCACGATATTTCGGTTATTGTTACATCCCTACTTATATCTTGTTTTCAGATTGATTATCTACTTTCTAGACTAAAGACTGCTTCATTCTAATCTTAGAGGTTGTTTATTTTAAGATAACTTGTAAAAAAGTAAAATCATCTTGCTGCATGGACAGATAATGTCACTACTTTTAAGTCATTTTCTGATAGATTTAAGCGTTTATATCTCGAATTCTGGCCAAGCTTTTTTGCCGACTATCAGTGCTTTTGTGTAGTCGGGTTACCTCGGCAACAAACAAAAACACGAGCAGCCATTTTCACTCTCATATCCCGAAGCGAACAGAAGTACAATTGTTAGTATTAGATTTGCATGCATCAGAGTTAAGGTGTTGTGTCCTGTTCGGTATGTGCTGTACCTTCTCTCTTCATGCCCATAGCCAGACACTTCTGATAACGGCAGTACTGGCAGCGGTTCCTCTGGCGCTTGTCGATCACGCAGTCTTTGTTGTCTCTGCACGTGTAGGTCAGATCTTTCCTCACCGTGCGTTTGAAGAAGCCTTTGCAGCCCTCGCAGCTGTACACGCCGTAGTGTTTACCTGCGCACGAGAGAAACACACACACACGTTAGGGTCCGTAACGGCAAAGAAGCAATACGATGGACATTTCAAAGAGAATATGTTTTTAATTCTCTTATTGGAGTCATGGAAATGTTAGCCACTAGCATGCTAACAGTGCCCTTCCTGGTTCATGGGCGAGATAAAAACGCTTCGTAACTGACGCAGACATAACATAGCAGACGTATTCTGACCTGGATTTCAGATTATAAACTCTTCTCACAACTTTCAGAAGCCAGAGCAAAGTTTTCGAGTCAATGTAATGTTAACAACTAGCATGCTAACAGTGCCATTCCTGGTTCTTGGGTGATAACTGATGCAGACAGTACACAGTGGATGTATTCTGACCCAGATTTCAGATTATAAACCCTTCTCACAACTTTCAGAAGCCACAGCAGAGTTTCTGGGTCATGGTAATGCTAACAACTAGCATGCCAACAGCACACTTCCTTGCCCGCTGCATGCTGTCTGCACTTATTTTGACCCCAAGAACTGCTTTTATAATATATCTGTTTATAAGCACTTTTCACAACTTTCAGAGGCCAGAGTAGTTTTGGAGTCACAGTAAAGTTTGCAACTAGCATGCTAACAGTACACCTCCTGGTTCACGGGTGATAAAAATGCATCATAACTCATTCAGATAGTACACAGTGGAGGTATTCTGACCCTGAGAGCTGCTTTTACAATATTTCAGATTATAAACCCTTCTCACAACTTTGAGAGAGCAGAGCAGAGTTTTTGAGTCATTCTAATGCTAACAACTAGCATGCCAACAGCACACTTCCTTGCCCGTTGCATGCTGTCTACACTTATTTTGACCCTAAGAGCTGCTTTTATAATATATCTGTTTATAAGCACTTTACACAACTTTCAGAGCCCAGAGTAGTTTTGGAGTCATGGTAATGTTTGCCACTAGCATGCTAACAGTACACCTCCTGGTTCAGGGGTGATAAAAATGCATCATAACTCATTCAGATAGTACACAGTGGAGGTATTCTGACCCTGAAAGCTGCTTTTACAATATTTCAGATTATAAACCCTTCTAACATCTTTGAGAAGCCAGTGTAGAGTTTTCGAGTCATTCAAATGCTAACAACTAGCATGCCAACAGCACACTTCCTGGCCCACTGCATGCTGTTTACAGTTATTCTGACCCTAAGAGCTGCTTTTACAATATTTCAGATTATAAACCCTTCTCACAACTTTCAGAAGCCAGAGCAAAGTTTTCGAGTCAAGGTAATGTTAACAACTAGCATGATAACAGCGCACTTCCTTGCCCACTGCATGCCGTCTGCACTTATTTTGACCCCAAGAACTGCTTTTATAATATACCTGTTTATAAGCACTTTTCACAACTTTCAGAGGCCAGAGTAGTTTTGGAGTCATAGTAATGTTTTCAACTAGCATGCTAACAGTGGACTTCCTGGTTCATGACCCAGAAGGCAAACCAAACTTAACTTAATTTGATTTTTTAATACAAATCTTTAAAGGTACATTGTGTAAGTAACTTTTATGGTGGAGAGTCTGTCAAATCTTTACTCCGTGGAGATGTTATTATTAAACCTTTCTGTCTTCATGGAGACCAAACCAGACCAGTCAGACAACGCTCACAGGTTTTACGCCGTTTGCATGCTAGTTGTTGTCAGCATTACGGTGAAACTTTGCTCCATTATTTATATATATATCATGGTTTACAATGAACAAAATGTAGACCGATCTCATCACATCTCGAAGCAAAGCAGGAACTTGAACTTGCTGAGCACTTAAATGGAAGACTGCTGGGAAAACTGTTGTTGTGTCCTTAGGCAAGACACTTCACCCACATTGCCAGACTTAAATGTGGTGTCTCCGTGAGCACTGGTAGTGGGAGAGCAGTCTCGCTTCTGTCAATGACTAATGCTCGGAAATTGTAAAACGAAGCGATTTTGAGAATCTGGGAAAATGCTATACAAGAAAAATACTTTATAAAATCATCTACAAATGTAATAATATAACTAAATACCAGAATAATATGTCTCTTTAAAGGTTCCGTATGCATATTGTAAACTGACTGACTATTGTGTGTTTAAAATGAAAATAACAGTTACAATCTTAAGCTTTATTTAGAAAGTGTCTCGTCTGTGTGCGAACAGAAGCAAGGACTCATCCAACAGTGCCGTTAAATGCTCGTAAATCTTTCCATTGTGAATTGTTTTTAGTAGTTTTGCAGAATGTATATATATATAGTAACGTTTAAAAAGCCTATGCAGAATATCGGCCATTTGAGTGTCTGATTGAGAGTTTGATTGACAGTGTGCGGTGACAGCAGCACAGGAAGCAGACGGAGGCTCCTCTTTCTTTTTAAGCGTGCCCATTGTTCTTCGCATCTGTGTTTAGACGCGTCGTTCTGAGCAGTAATCCTGAGGGGAAATCGTTTGTTTACCGTGGTTGACTGACAGTGGTGCAGTCTGTTTTGCCGCCATGCTAATCCTAAACAACTAGCATGCTAACAGCGCACTTTCTGGTCCACGGACGATACAAACGCTTCGTAACGATATTTATGATAACATTATATTATGATATTTTAATTTAGAATAGTTTTTCTAACTTTTAGAGGCCAGAGCATAATTTTGGAGTCACGGTAATGTTAAATACTAGCATGCTAATGGTGCCCTTCCTGGTTCATGGGCGACAAAAGCACTTCATCATTGATGCAAACAGTACACAGCTGACTTATTCTGAGAGCTGCTTTTATATATTTTTTAAACTTACAAGCACTTTTCACAACTTTCAGAGGCCAGCGCGGAGTTTTGGAGTCACTGTAATGCTAACATCTAGCATGCAAACAGCGCACTTCCTTGTTTGCTGCAAGCTGTCTACACTTATTCTGACCTTTTACAATATTTAAATTTATAAGTGCTTTTACACAACTTTCAGAGGCCAGAGCAGAGTTTTGGAGTCATGGTTGCTAACAATTAGCATGCTAACAGTGCACTTTCTGGTTCATGGTTCATAATTGATGCAAACAGTACACAGCTGACTTATTTTGACCCTGAAAACTGCTTTTACAATATTTGAATTTATAAGTGGTTTTCACAACTTCCAGAAACCAGAACAGTTTTGGAGTCATGGTAATGCTAAAAACTAGCATGTAAACAGCGCACTTCCTTGTCTACAGCATGCTGTCTACGCTGACACTAAGAGCTACTTTTACAATAGATCAGTTTTATATGTGCTTTTGATAACTTTCAAAGGCCAGAGTAGTTTGGGAGTCACGGTAATGTTTGCAAGTAGCATGCTAACAGTGCACTTCCTTGTTCATGGGTGAAAAAAAAGCTTCATAATTGATGCAGACAGTACACCGCGGATTTTCTCTGACCCTGAGAGCTGCTTTTATAGTATTTGAGATTATAAACCCTTTTCACAACTTTCAGAAACCAGAGCAGAGTTTTGGAGTGACGGTAATGTTAACAACTGGCATGCTAACAGCGCACTTCCTTGTCCGCTGTATGCTGCCTATACTTATTCTGATCCTAAGAGCTGCTTTTACAATATAGATGTACTGGGGCAAAACAAACATTACTTCATTTGCCCTTTTAATAAAAATCTTTAAAGGTGCATTGTGTAACTTTTCTAGTGCTTTTTCTCCATGGAGATGTTATTGCTTTGTCTGGAATGTTCCACAGTATGATATTAGGCTTTCTATCTTCATGGAGACCAAACCAGACCAATTTACAGAGTATTTTTGAGCTTTAAAACCACCTGTAATTGAATAAATATAAGGTAGAGCTGTTTAATGTCATACTGTGGAACATTCCAGGGAGAGCAATGACGTATCCATAGAAACAAGGAGATGACGGACCCTCCACCAGACCAGTTTTCACCCTGATTCAAAAATAACACATTGCTAACACCACTCCACCTTATGCAACCCCGTACAAAACACCTTGAATAACCGCGCATGTGATCGCTGGCTGCGTCTGAGCTCTACCGGGTTAATCTAAGGTCCCGGGCCCCTTCCCCGGAGCCTCTGACTGGGGGCCCCTGGACTCTATCGCGTTGTGGTTCGCATATCTTCGCTAACAGCTCCTCTTTGTTAATTATGACGGATGGAGGTTAGCATTAGCATGTGTGCGTATCATTGCTAGAGGACCACCGTGTCAGGCCAGCAGCTCGGTTGTTGCGAAATGAAGCATGACTGGCTATTAAGCATGGTTCGGAGTTTGGCCCCGAGGTGCTGGGTGGCGCTGATGACGTCCATGCTTGTCTAAAACTGTCCGGTAAATTAGCTACCCGGCGTCAACCCGCGGCGGACACGTTTGCACGGTGTTTGAGGGGTACATGATAACAGTAGTTGTCTGTTGGTTTTAAGGGTCTGGTTGGACATGGTTGGGTGTGTGTGGAGAATGTGGTTAAGATAAGGACCAAAACGTGATCGGAGGGAGTGTGTGGTAAAGCACGGGTTATTTTAGGGCAGGGTTAGAATGGTTGGAAATGGATAAAAAATGCAACAGAAATGGCGTTACATTTATATTGCGGTGTGCAAGCTTGGCATGGTTCTCAAAGCAGTATTCTTCTAACCTGATTCAGCAGCCAGTTTCACTTTGTGGAAAACATCTGAACTCGCAGCATTTGAATTCGTTTGTTTGATGGTATAGTATTTAACCAATCACTGCTATTTGGTTGTGATGAATGTAATGCACCGCTAACGGGGCTAACTGGTATATTAAGCTTTTCCTAAATCCTGTAGGGCAATAACGTCTTTCCACTTGATAAAATTCACCAAACATTCTCTTTGTTCCGGCTTCAAATCCTCGATTTCGGGAATCATTGCCAACACAGAATGTACAGCTTCATCTACATCCATCTCGACTGCTTTGTTTACTGTTGTGCTGTGCTACAAAATGGACCTGGTCATGGCTTCACAGCTCTTCGCCGATTGGCTGGTGCACGGTCTACACCTTCCAGGGTTCTTGCAAAACTGTCTAGTGTATTCTGATTCC